GTTGTACGCTTGGACTGGGAATGCAAAGGCTTCTATGAGTTCACCTTCCGAGTTCCGGAGAATGGCTCCTCCAGAGGCACTGCCCTCTTTATAACCTGCGTCTGTGTTGAGGATGAGAGTGGATGGTGAGTTGTATTTCCATTTAATAGGTTGTCTGGTTTTCTGTTTTTGCTTGATGTATGGCATGAGTCCGTCAGTATGCAAGTCTGCGTCGAATTCGTAGAATTTTTTGTTGAGATTGGAGTAGCACTAGTTGGTTGTGTATTGCTTGATTTCTGAGATGATTTGTGTTTTGGACATAGTTTTCCCTTCCCAAATGCAATTGTTGTAAGTTTTCCATACATGCCACATGATAATTCCTGGCATAGCGTGTCTTATTATGTCTCTAATGTTCTTTGAGTCCCTTCCCATCCACCAAATGTATAGAGTCTGTCTCAAGTCTTCGTGATGTGTTGTCCTAACCTGCAAAATAGAAGAGAAATACCTCCATATGGGGCTTATTAGTGGGCATGAAAATAGGGAGTGATTTTGAGTGTACTGATTGTGTAAACAGAATGGACATCTAGTGACCAATTGAAGGTTAAAACGTTTGAGGTTGTCAGGAAAAGGTAATGAATTTGATAGGTATTTCCAGAGGAAAATTTTGATTTTGAGTTGGATGGGTGTTTTCCAGATGTGGGTGAGTGTGTATGTGGTTGGGTAGTGTGTTCTGGAATGGTGAAAAGCACTGGTTAGAGAGAATTGGCCATGATTTTCCAGAGTCCAGAGAGGGGTGGTTGTAGAGGTTAGGATGATGTCATTGTTTTGGTGGGCTGTTTTGCAAATAAGTTTCCAAGCAGGTGAGTCATTAGGTTTGTGTGTCATTATACCATCTCTGGAGTATTTGGAGCGCATGAAGTGAGCCCATGTTGTTTTTTGCTCATTGTAGTTCCACCAAATTTTAAGTTGATAGGACTGTTGGATATCAGATAAGGATCTGACACCCAGCCCCCCTTCACTTCCTTGTTTGCAAATGGTTTTCCAACTTTTCCAATGGTATTTGTTTTTCTCCCCAGTTGATCCCCAGAAAAAATTGCTCATCATTCTGTGAAGATTATGAATGATCTTGTTTGGGAATTTGGTAGTAGCAAGGTGGTGAATGGGGATAGATGTAAGTACATGTTTGATGAGTATTAGCCTCCCCGATTGGTTTAGTTGTTTCCTTTTCCAGGATAGGAGTTTGGTTTCAAATGCTTTGAGGATGCTGAGGCAGTGTGCGGCCCTGGTTATGCCTTGGTGAAGAGTAGCACCTAAATAGGATATGGGTAAGAATGAGATTTTCATTCCCGTAAGTCTTTCCAGCCCTCTTTGCCTGCCGATGTTCATATTTTTGCTGACTGTAACCATGCTTTTGCTGTAGTTGACAACTTGGCCGGATGCTTTACTGAATAGGTCGAGGAACTTCAACAGATTTTTGATTGAAGGAGCAGACCCGTTGAGGAACAATATGATGTCATCTGCGTACCCAAGTTGTGTAACAGGACTGGGGTCCTTACCAATAGTGTAGGGTTTTATCTTATTGACTTATTGTTATTAAACAGGCTCTGCAACCCCCTTGTAAAGCATTCAATAGTGATCAAGAATAGGTAGGGGGATAGGGGGTCTCCCTGTTTGACCCCCCTCTGTGGCTGGAAAAAGCCATAGGGAGAACCGTTGACCAGGACGGAAATGTGTGTTGAGGCTAGATTTGACATGATAAGGCGTGTGAAACGCCTATCGAATCCGAACCTGAGTAAAACAGCCTCCAAAAATACCCAAGATACTCTGTCAAAAGCTTGGGCCAGGTCCAGTTTGATAGCAGTATTCCCGCCCCAGACTTTTTTGTCTAGGTGGTGGAGGATCTCCTTGGCGAGTAAGATGTGTTGGTGAATGTCCTCCCCCTCCATAAACCCGATTTGCTCTTTAGAGATGAGTTTCGGAAGAACCGTCTTAAGGCGCGTAGCCAATATTTTGGTGCAAATCTTATTTAAAAAATTTGCGAGGCTAATGGTTCGGAATTGGGTGAACTTTTTAGGGTTTGGGATTTTTGGGATTAAGACGATCAAAGAGCTAGAAAGGGCAGTAGGCATCGGCAGTCCAAGAAAAAATTCTTGTACGGCTAGGATCAAATCACTCTTGATAATGTCCCAACATGAACGATAGAAATGTCCGTTAAAGCCGTCTGGGCCAGGGCTACTGTCCTGATTGAGAGCCCAAACTGTGTTCTTGATTTCCTGGGCGTTCGGGAGTTCAGTAAGGAAACAGTTTTCCTCCGGTGAAATAGCCGGCTCCAAGTGAGCCAGGAGACTGTCGACCAAAGTTTCATAATTCAATATAAGTGAGTGTTCAATATAAGTGAGTGTTCAATTTGATCTTTATCCAATATAAGTGAGTGTCCCAAAACTATGAATTATGAAACTTTAGTGTCCAATATGAGATACATATGAAACCATTGTATCTAATTTGGTCCATTTGAAACTTTAGTGTCCAATATGGGATTCTGATGAAACCATAGTGTCCAATTTGAGTCTCATCCCGATTTTTGTACAGTAGTTACATACGGATTATATGTTGATCATTTTAAAATATTTATTATGTTTCAATTTGTAATTCATTTTAAAATAGAAAGATCAATAAATTGAAATTTCACCCCACTCATAACTTGAATTGGTAGCCAATCCCATTTGAGAAAAAAAAATTATGCATTTTCCTCAATTTCTTTTGTAAATTCTGAGCAGTATAAATTAAATTTCAAGGAAGTAATTACCGCTTTTATTGCAGATTCTTCATTTAATTTGAAGTGGAAGTGGGAAGGTGGTCTCATCGTATGAATATAAGAAATGAGATAACATGTTGATAAACTTTAACAAACACACATAAAGTATGTGTTATTTTATGTATTGACACAGTACAAATGACTATCTATGTACCAATACTCTTCTGAGTTCATATGAATGATAACTTAAGAAAGCCCGCACCAAATATGCATATTTTTGTTAACATATACTCCGTATTTATATTAATCCTTCTAAGTTAATTTTGTAAAGCAATACATGCAAAAGTTCTAAACAGTACCAAGTAAATGCTGCTTATATGGCTACAAGTAGAGCAAATCAGCAAATACGTAATTAAGTGGAAAGCCATTCATTCTTTTCTTGCTTTTTTCTGAAGAGCATCACTCTTCACAAAATCAGAAAGTGATTTCTACACATCTCTGATCCACTAAAAACAAACATGTATGAGATGTGGTGAACAGTGTTCTAAATAGCCGTAGCGGCAGTGGTAGCGGCAGCGGTCATCTCGATAGCGGCCTGTAGTCGCCTGAAGCCTGTAGCGATTGCAACAGCGTGAAATATTTTCAAGTGCGCAAACTATATATTTAATGGGTGCTAAAGTTAATAGAAACAAATATTTGTTTGAACACTTAGAACATTAACAACTAATATAACAACCAATAAAAATATGACACTTAATAATAGCAACACTTATTAATCAACACTTAATAACAATAAGGAGTAACTTGCATGTACTCATACTTTTATCATAGCTTCATAATAATAGCAAGTACGACGTAGCCAACTTTTAAGAAGACGTTTAAATGTACTACTCCGGTACGTCTCAAATAATTTTGCCATTTCATAAAATTTGGATCATGAAAGTTAACATTTTTTTGCCAAATAATTTAATAAAAGTTATAAATTTTATACTTTTATGAAAGTACTTTTAACAAAAAACAATTTTATTTCATTTGTATATTATAAATAATTTTCAATAAAAAGATATACTCCTCTGTTCCGAAAATTTTAAGTACTTATATGAAAAATTGTTGTCCTTTCACAATCAAATTTTAAGAAGTGGACCATGCATTGCAACTTGCATAATCCATAATAATACCACTTCCGTTCCAAATTGTTTTGTAAGTCAACATTTTTTTCGTCAACTGTTATTAAAGTTAAATCATTCTTATTAATAATTAATTCGGTTTTAATAATTAAAATTTATATATTAATATTTGCTACCATAATGTATGTGGATACATGTACATTTAATTTAGAGTTTCACTCCATAATGCATCACCATTAATGTATTTTTTCACATCATACACACAACATGTACACATTTACACATCGACCAGTTCGTGATGTACTGCCGGTAGCGGCCTGTAGCGGGCGGCATAGCGGGATTTTCGGTGATTTGAAAATCACATCCTGATAGCGGCCCGTAGAGGTAACAGTACACATCGCGACCGCTATATAGCGGCAGCTATTTAAAACACTAAATGGGGAGTATGCTTTGTGAAAGTAGGAACATTTATTTATGATTAAAAGTGCACCATGAAAAAAAACATATATGGAGTATGTGTGTACGCATATGGAATTGAATCATGTGATCATTGAATTTCTAGAAGAGAAAAGAGTAAAATTTGTCAAAAAATATCACTTCTCATTATGTTGGGTATTTCATTATGTTGGGTGTTTTAATCAGTTTATTTATTTGTGTCCTGTAATTAAATTTATTGCTTTGAACTATCTATTCTTTAATTATGATAAAAAAACTATCTATTCTTTAATTATCTTTTAATTAAATTTATTGCTTTGAACTATCTATTCTTTTATACATTGTTCTTTAATTATCTTTTAATTAAATTTATTGTTTTGAACTATCTATTCTTTAAATTTACTACTATTTTCATTTTAAGAAGGATACAACTACAAAATAAGATCATGAGATGAAATGAATTTAGATTTTTTTTATTCCAGTGCATCGTACGGATACTGTACTAGTACGTAGTATAGAGAAGGGGGCATTTGCTCTCTTTGAATGGAATAGAGGGATTTAAACTCATAGGTTTTGCCCCTTTTCCCTACCCTAAAGAATTCTAAGGGATAAGGGTCAGATAGGGCCTCGAACTTGAAAAAAAATGTCAAATAAGGCCATATTTAGAAACATTTCTGAACAAAACGGCTTCATGTGTACTGTCTAGTAACTACTCTTTAGTTCCACTCGAATTTTGAGCTTGAGCAACCCTGATAAGTGATCAGCAAAGCAAAATGAGTGAAACATTGAGTGGAAGTGATCCTCCGGTATCGACGGAAACACCGCTTAAGAGCGGCAATGTGTTTGATGCGAGTAGAATTGCTGAAGTAAAATCGTGGCTGACTTCCCAATTCGATGCCGTTGGGAAGGATGTCCCTGCTTTCGAATACACCGCACGAAGCTTTCGAAACTAGCCGCTGGAATTGTATCTAAAGATTTCCGTCAAAAAGCTGCTGAATTTAGGTCTCAAGGTGCTCCTACGATCTACCTTCTCACTGTCTAATGCAAACCTAAATTTTTTCTTTATGATCGGACTGAACTGTTCTATGTCAAGCTGTATTGTAATTGACTGGCTGAATCTGCCATGATTTTAGCTGCTAGGATAAGAGAGATATTGGAGAACGTGGGATTGGGCCAAGAGAGTTTAACCCCAAATGTGGTTTCCTCAGCACAAGTCCTTGCCAGCATGTCAAATTTGTTGAATATTAGAGATACTGAATTGAGTAGGTGGGCGAGCTTTTGTTGTTTTACATCTATTGTTTTCCCTTTCTTTTTGTTTTTGCGGTTCACAGTCTTAGGAAAGGAAAAAATTGTAGCTTTCTTGTAGCAATAGCAGATCTATCTCTAAGGAAAACAGCAGTTGAAGAGAAGAGGGCCAAAGTGCAGCAGGAATCCAAAGCTCTTCTTGATTATACTCGAAAGGCAATATCAAGATTGACTTATTTAAAAAGGTAACTTTATGGATATATTCTTTTTGATATTTTCTTGATCACATATTGTGCTATTTTTGAGGATTATTGAAATGATTTTATGTCTGGAAAAGGTTTATTAGTATCTGGTTTTTCCATGACTGCTTTTGAACTATTATTCTTTGGTAGAACACTTGCACAGCTTGAAGATGACATTTCTCCCTGTGAAGCACAAATGGAAAAATGGAAAACTGGAAAACAAACCTGGCAATTATGGAGTCAAAAGAGAGACAATATTTTCAGCAGTATTCTAATTATAAGGTAACTTAATGTTTTTGTTAAACATCATTTCACGGTTAAAGGATTAGGTTTCCAACCTCTACAGCTTCATTTATTTTCATTTTAATTTTGTTAAAGTAGTGATTTCAATGGACCTCAATGACTGATACAAAATTCAGCTTGGGACATAATTGATTGACTTTGGTGTTAGTTTTCCTCTGCAAGGGAAATGCAGATCATTAATATACAATGAGACATTAGCAATCCAGGCTCTATGGCAAACTTGTATGGCTTGGAGTTTTGCTTAATATACCAAGCCAAATGCAAAGAGTTTTTTGTGTATTATTCTCAAATGAACATGTTTAGTTCCATTGGTGAAGGCCTGCTTACTATAGCTGCTATACTTGTTTGTTTAAAAAATAATACCCCGTAGTAGAAGTATTAGTGATTAAGTGCATATAATGTTCATTTATGATTAAAGGAATTATGGAACCAAATGCTAGATGACTGAGAAATTAGGTGAAACTCATAGTACATTAGACATTGCTGGATAGCATTAGTCTTCTTTACTAAAGAGTCCATATACAGATGCATTAGTCTTCTTGTCATATGGTAAGGAAAATGAGGAATTTGGTGTAAGCAAGCTATTGCAGGTTTATAACTATCCCTAGCATTCCTTTTTGGAAAGTGTTTTATTATTTGCCCCACCTTATTTGGAATGTTTTACCATATCATGATTCAAGATGCACAAATATCAGGAGTTTTTATCATCTCTTTTTAATTCTGTCTATATTTTCGTCCACTCTTGCCTAATATTGACTACTCTATTTTTACTCTTAAACTCCGCGAGAAGTAAAAAAGTGAAGTGATAGATAAATGAATAAAGTGAGAAAGTAAAAAGCTAGTAGTGTTTGTACTGTTCAATTTTGGAAAGTGCTGATAGTTTTGGGACAACTAAAAAAGATGCATCTTTCAAAAGGGGTATTTGTTATAATCAGTTATTGCAATAATTTAATAATCTATCTTAGCCAATTTTTACTTGGAGGTGATATTATAAAATAAAAACTGTGTTGTTAAGGTTTGTGTAGAGGAAAGTGAAATAACACCAATACAAAATTGTTACTTTAAAAGGATATGCCAGTTTTCTGGATGGCTAAATAAATAAGTTGACAAAGTTTAGTGGGAAGGAGGGAGTAATATATTTCATCTATACCAAACACATACCGTAATATGGTGGTGCATTTCAAGCTTAATTTTAACATTATGCTCTAAATAAATGTATTTTATGCATGTAAATTAGCTTAAAATGTACTTGATAATTGATATGCAGGCGTTGCTCAACCGTGTTGGCTATACCCCGGAGGTAAGTCATGGAGTGCTGGTTGAAATGGCAGAGCACAGAAAGGATTTAGAGAACAAAACAAAACCCATTCTTGATACCTTGAGAAGCTACCAGGACCTGCCCCCTGTAAGATCTACTGATTTTTTTAATCTTTTGTAATTTCCTGTATATGCTTTTCCATTGAATTTTAGTCCTTACTATGATGATGTAGGACAAAGCATTGGCGGCATTGGCGATAGAGGAGAAGAAAAGACAGTATACTGATGCAGAGAAGTACCTTGATGATATCTTGCAGTCAGCTCTTGGTTCCTCTGATTGAAATTAAATCAAGTTTCTTCAAAGCATTATGCCCGAGTTAGAAGCAAAAGTTAAAGATAGATCATTGTAAAGAATTTTTCAAGTAATTTTTTTCAACACATGCAAAGAGACCTGCCAATTAACCCAATTTTGCCGTTTCTACATACAAATATAAAACAATCTTTTTTCAAATTTGGAATAGATCGGGTCCCATCAGGCCCTCTACCTGTACTCCTATCAGGTCGAGTCGGGCAAGTGACTTTCTTGATTGCAAGCGAAGGTTATCTCCCAACCACCCGCGGATACAAACTATCATGTTAGGGGACCGGGAGACTTAGAAGTGGTTCTCTTCACCTGATTTGAATGTTTCTGATCTGATTTTTTTAAGACATGATCTGATCTGAATTGATCTGATATGAATATTTCTGATCTGGTCTGATTTGAATCTTTCTGATCTGACCTGAATCCTTTTGATCTAATTTGAATCTTTCTGATCTGATTAGAATATTTCTAAAATTATAATACTATGTCATAATTATTATTATTATACTTATAGTTGCAATTATAAATATAATTTAAATATAATCATAATCATAATTATAATTAAAATTATAATAGGTATAATTATTATAACTATTACACTAATTATTATTATGGATGTAATTATAATTATAATTATATTTGTAATTATAATTATGTCTATAATTATACTCCCTCCGTCCGGATACATCTTTATGTTTGCTTTTATATCGGTTTTTTAGGAGATCAATTAATATGAGAGCATATATCAGTTCTACCCTTTGCCCTCACTGATTTTACTTCAACCGACTACTCTTACCTTAAAAATTTCTAGTTTTTGTTGAACCAATGACCTCCCCATCTTCATCCCACTACATCATACTTCATCAGAACAAGAGTAAAGAAGGGAAGCTGCAATCGCAAATTCCGGATTTAATGCACCAAACCTCCTGGTGATATAGAAAGTCAGAGCATTAACCCATGTGATTTGAAAAATGCGTCAAACCCCCTTGTGTTTTAATTAATCGTGCACAAAACCCCTTTTATGAATAAATTTAACGATTTTGAAATCACTTTTCCTAATATTTTGATTGAATATGCAAGTAAATATGTCAAAATCTCTGAATCATACAACAATGTTAATCATTTTTCTTTGGGATAAGGGTCAGATAGGGCCTCGAACTCGAAAAAAAATGTCAAATAAGGTCATATTTCGGATGCTCTGTCTGGCCGACGCCATTTGGGGCGGTTCCCGATGGAATTTTTTGATGAAATTTTTTGAGCATCTTCCTCATTAAGTCTAGTTTACCCATACCAAATTTCAGCTAAAAATTCAACCGGGAAGGTAGTCAAATAATTTTCCGAAATGTATGGCGTTGTTTAACTTCACAGTTATCTTCAAAAACTCATTTGACTACCTTCCCGGTTGAGTTTTTAGCTGAAATTTGGTATGGGTAAACTAGACTTAATGAGGAAGATGCTCAAAAAATTTTATCAAAAAATTCCATCGGGAACCGCCCCAAATGGCGTCGGCCAGACAGAGCATCCGAAATATGACCTTATTTGACATTTTTTTTCGAGTTCGAGGCCCTATCTGACCCTTATCCCTTTTTCTTTTATTTAACAATTGAATTTGTTCACAGAAGGGATTTGTCGCATAATTAATTAAAACACAAGGGGGTTTGACGCATTTTTAAATCATAGGGGGCTAATGCGCCGAATTTCCGTATCACAGGGGGGTTTGATGCATTAAACCCCGCAAATTCTCTATCGGCAATTTTGGATTCCTTAAGAAAATCCAGATTTTAATCTTTTATGACTTAAGAAAGGAATCTAATAGCCCTTATAGAGCTCAATGACTCGAAGAAGGCATCTTGCACGCCTGCGACCACGTTCTTGGCGGCAGCAATACCTAACGCCGGCTTCTGATCTATCTCCAGGCAGATGAAGGCTTCTGTCTCCGGACAGAGATAAACTAGCACATGCGATTGGAGAATTGGAGCCCGTTTGGTAGCACCAAAATCGGCTGTTTTGGCTGATTCTGCTGAAATTTATGATATTCTGGCTGGAGTGGCTGTTTTGGCTGATTCTGCTGATTTAAGAAAAAAATATTTTAAAAATATATTTTATTAATAAATTAAAGAAAAAATTATATGCAAAAATAGCTAAAATGGTCCTCTACAGTAACTTCAGCCAATACAGCCAGAAAAGTAACTCCAACCTTACTTTTTCGGCTTATTACACAATTCAGCGCGCGAAAGTAAAAGTTACGTGTTTGGTGAAAAAGCTGGCTGATAAGCCTGATAAGCCTAAAACATAGTTCTCCAAACGGGCTCTTGATCTTATGAATGGGTTGAGAGTCCCACGTCATTCTAATTTTGAAGGATAATCCTTTGATTCAAACTCTGGCCGGAGCTATGGGCCTGGAAGTGGGTACTACCGTGCTGGGATAGTGGGTGCATCAATGTTGTCCAATGAAATGTAAAATGTGGGTGGGTAGGCTAGTAAATGGTAGTTATGACAATTAAAGTAAAAAAAAAAGTTGCTAACAAGAAAACGTAAAAGAGTAAATGGGACGTCCCAAAAAGAAAAGTGTAAAGATTTAAATGGGACGGAAGGAGTAATTGAAATTATAATTATAATAGTTAATTCTATAATTATAATTATAATTACTTCGTATAACAACAACAACAATAACAATATCGACAATAATAATCATTAACAATGATAATACTAATAGTAATACTAATAATAACAACAATCATAATAATAACTAGAATAATAATACTAATAATAATAATAGTAATAATAATAGTAATAGTAATAATATTAACTAGAATAATAATAATAATAATAATAACTAGAATAATATTAATATCCACTAGAATAATAATAATAATAATAATAATAATAGTAATAAAAACAACAACAAGAATAATAAGTAGAATAATAATAATAATAAAAGTAATAAAATTAATAATAATAATAATAATATTTATTATTATTATTATTATAAAAACGATAATTCATGTTTGAACTTTTCTGATTTGATTTGAATGCCTCTGATATGATTTGATTGAAATAAGAATAAGCAATAAGTAATAAGAATAAGTTATATTATTATTATTACTACTACTATTATTATTATTATTTTGGTAAATTTCTGTATGTATATATTACTACAACTACTACGTATTACTAGTAGTCAAAAACCAACTCAGAAAATGCAGTAAAATTAAAGGATATGTTTAGTACTCCGTATGCAGATCAGACTATCAGAGAATCCAAAAGGCCACTACCTGCTGCCCGCCATAAAAAAATTAATTTTTATTTCTCTTGATCAATAATACTACCTAATAAACTTTGGTATGTTGTGAAATGAAGAATGTGAAGAACAACTTTAAGAGATAGATATATTGATAAAAACCTCTAAATAACTTCTTCTTTATCTATGAAATTTTCTGAGTTTCTGAATTTCTAAGTACATTTACAAGGCATCACCAAACCCCTATTTATACTGATGGAGCTTGGTGATGAATCATCAAAGAATCATTCTACATAATATGCTGGCAACATTAAACCTAGCCATCTGTTTATTACAAGGATGGAAATTGGATTAGTGTCCTGATGACAAGGATGAACAATTCACACTTGTCATTCTCAGGAATTTACAACACTCCCCCTTGAATGTTCATCCTTGAATAGTTATTTGTTATTTAAAAACTTGTTGTGAAATTAAGGGGTAAAAATTACGACTTATAATGTCATTGTATTTGGATGTACTGTCTCGTTAAAAACCTTATCAGGAAAAACCCAGTGGGATAAAAACCTGATGAAGGGAAAAAGAGTGCAGTGCATTCAAATACTCCCCCTGAATTTAGTATAAATTATGAAGACGTCGCATGCCGATTTTCTGTACAAGTTCCATGAACTTCTTCGGGGGTAAAGATTTGGTGAAAAGATCGGCTGGATTTTCACTGGATCTGATTTGTTGAATGTTGATCGTCCCTTCTTTCTCCAGATCATGAGTAGAGAAGAATTTTGGTGATATGTGTTTTGTTCTGTCACCTTTGATGTAGCCTTCTTTAATCTGAGCTATGCACGCATTGTTGTCTTCGTAGATCACTGTCGGGTGACAAGTAATAGGCTTTATACCGCATTCATTTTGGATGTGTTGAATCATAGATCGCAGCCACACGCATTCCCTCCCGGTTTCATAAAGTGCAATTAACTCCGAATGATTTGATGATGTAGCTGTCAACGTCTGTTTCATAGATCTCCACGAGATTGCGGTGTTACCATAAGTAAATACGTACCCGGTTTGTGATTTCGCCTTTTGAGGATCTGATAAATATCCGGCGTCTGCATATCCGATTAAAGAAGCTGTTGCATCTTTGTGGTAGAATAGGCCGAGATCAACTGTACCACGGAGATAACGGAATATGTGCTTCATCCCGTTCCAATGACGTCTTGTTGGACATGAGCTGTACCTAGCTAATAAATTAACAGAAAATGCAATATCTGGTCTAGTATTATTAGCTAAATACATTAATGCTCCAATAGCACTCAAATATGGTACTTCGGGACCGAGTATTTCTTCGTCATCTTCTCGGGGACGGAATGGATCATCATGTATGTTGAGAGATCGAACGACCATGGGTGAGGTCAACGGATGAGCTTTGTCCATATAGAATCTCTTCAACACTTTCTCGGTGTAATTGGATTGGTGGATGAAAATTCCATTCTTCAAATGCTCAATTTGAAGTCCAAGACAAAATTTGGTTCTCCCGAGATCTTTCATTTCAAATTCTTTCATAAGATATTTTGCAGTATTTTCAATTTCATCGGGAGTTCCAATAATGTTTAAGTCATCAACATATACTGCAATTATGGCGAATCCCGAATTTGATCGCCGAATGAAAACACATGGACTAATTGGATCATTCTTATATCCTTCTTTGAGAAGATATTCACTGAGACGATTATACCACATTCGTCCAGATTGTTTTAGTCCATACAATGACTTCTGTAATTTAATGGAAAACATGTCTCGAGGTTTCGAGCTATAAGCATCAGGCATTTTAAATCCTCCGGGAACTTTCATATAAATGTCTGTATCGAGTGAACCGTATAGATAGGCGGTCACTACATCCATTAGGCGCATTTGCAGCCTTTCAAAAACAGACATGCCAATGAGAAACCTTAATGTAGTTGCATCAACTACTGGAGAATAGGTTTCTTCATAATCGATTCCCGGCATTTGAGAAAAACCTTGGGCAACAAGTCGGGCTTTATATCTAACAATTTCATTTTTCTCATTGCGTTTACGCACAAATACCCATTTAAAACCCACAGGTTTTACGCCTTTTGGCGTAGGGACTATCGGTCCAAAAACATCACGTTTTTCAAGTGATTTTAATTCAGCTTGAATAGCTTCATTCCATTTTGGCCAATCGTGTCGTTTCCGACATTCTTCTATTGATGTTGGCTCATTGTCATTGTTTTCATTCATAACATTTGTGGCAACGGCATAGACAAATATCTCATTAATATCAATATCTTTTCGATTCCATTGCATTCCAGTAGAAACGTAATTTATTGAAATTTCATAATTATCAACGTTTCTATCAGTATCTGGAATATCTTCCTCATTTAAGGAAGTTGAATCATTATTTGAGATGTTTGTTTTGTCAATATCATTTTCTATGCCAGTATTTTCAAATTGTTCATTTTCTTGTTCAGAAGGATGAACATCTTTGGCATCACAGATCAATTCCTGCCTTTTAGTCTTTCTTGGTTTTATGTCTTTTGATCCAAGTGGCCTGCCACGCTTTTTGCGTATAGAAGAATCATTTACGAGAGATTTTTCAGAATTCTCCGCTGGAATTTCAATTCTGGCAGGGGCATTCATAGCAGGAATATGTGACTTTGTCACTTTCTTTGTGTCTGTGAATGCATCAGGCAACTGATTTGCAACATTTTGTAAATGGATTATCTTTTGCACCTCTTGCTCACATATATTTGATCTAGAATCAAGGTGTGATAATCCTGTTGCATTCCATGTTATTTCTTTCGTACTTGGGTCCGATTGATTAGTTTCTCCCCCTAAGGTTGGGAATACTGTCTCATTGAAATGACAGTCAGCGAACCGTGCGGTGAATAAGTCACCAGTCATCGGTTCAAGATATTTGATTATTGAGGGAGATTCAAATCCAACGTAAATTCCCAACCTTCTTTGAGGACCCATTTTTGTACGATGAGGTGGAGCAATCGGAACATAAACAGCACAACCAAATATTTTTATGTGTGCTAAGTTTGGCTCTTGTCCAGTAACTAATTGCATTGGGGAATATTCATGATATGCAGTCGGTCTAAGCCGAATTAAATTTGCTGCATGCAAAATAGCATGTCCCCAAGCTGATGAAGGTAAATTACACTTCATTAATAATGGTCTAGCGATTAATTGTAATCGTTTAATCAAAGATTCAGCAAGACCATTTTGTGTATGGACATGAGCAACAGGGTGCTCCACATCAATCCCAATCGACATACAATAGTCATTAAATGATTGGGATGTAAATTCTCCTGCATTATCAAGTCGGATTCTCTTTATAGAATGATCCGGAAAATGAGCTCTTAATCGTATAATTTGAGCAAGGAGTTTAGCAAATGCTAAATTTCTAGTCGATAAAAGACTAACATGTGACCAACGTGTTGAAGCATCAATCAACACCATAAAATATCGAAATGGTCCACATGGCGGGGCTATCGGCCCACAAATATCTCCTTGAATCCTTTCTAAAAATGCAGGTGATTCAGTTGCAATTTTGTTCATAGAGGGCCTGATGATCATTTTGCCAAGAGAACAGGCCTTACAAGGAAAATCACTTGATAATGGAACCCTGATATTCTTTAATGGGTGTCCAAGTGAAGTCTTAATGATTTTATGCATCATTACTTGGCCTGGGTGACCTAAACGGTCATGCCACAACATGAATGTTTTCTGATCATCTAACTTTGCGTTAGAAACCAAATTTATTTCGAATGGACTAATATAAGTGAAATATAGTCCTGAGGAATATGCTGGCATTTTCTCACAAATATATTTAGTGCCAGATTTAGTTGTCGTTAGACAAAGATATTCCTTTTGGTTTTCATTCATGGTTTCTATGTGATAACCATTTTGACGCATATCTTTAAAGCTTAATAAATTTCTCCGCGATTTGCTGGAGTATAAAGCGTCATTTATAAGTAATTTTGTCCCATTAGGGAGTATCACATATGCTTTCCCAGAGCCTTCAATGAGCTTCGCAACACCTGATATTGTATTGACTTTAGCTTCGACTAAAGTCATTTGAGAAAAATAGATTTTATTCCTCAAAATGGTGTGCGTTGTGGCGCTGTCTATCAGACATAGCTCTTTATCACTTGAGTGATCCATATCTTCAATATATATAAATAAGCATAAGTTTGATATGCAAGTAACACAAATTATGCATCATATATAACATTAAAATACATATATTACATAATTTATTTATGATAACAACATGAAAGAAAAATACATAATTTACAACATGAAAGTCCTATAATTTATTTTGTGTCATTTAGATTAGTGGCAAAAGCATCGTCCATAATGGCATCATCCACGAAGAAATCGGACACGTCAAATTTTGGCAGAGGTGGAGTTGTGTCATTAACATAATTAGCTTCCACACTTTTGCCTTTGTTCAGATTCATGGAAGCTTGAAATAACTCCACCAGATGTTTAGCCGTGCGACATTTATTAGCCCAATGCCCCGTCATGCCACATTTATAACAAGTCGATTTTCCCGAGGATTTTGGAGGGCGATTTATTTGATGGGCTTTTTGTTTGCCCTTGCCCTTGTAATTTGGTCTTTCGACCTGTTTGTATTCTCGGTGTGACTTGTTTTTATGACCATTAAAATGCCCACGTTTAAAATGCCTTCGTGTGCCACTACGTGTTGCGTTTGATTCAGTGGCAATGTTATGTCCAGATGGACCATAAATCGAAGGACTAGAACCAGTGGGTCTCAGATTATGATTTTTCATCAAAAGGTCATTATTTTGCTCAGCGACCAGTAAAACTGATATAAGGTCAGAGTATTTTTTAAAACCCTTTTCTCTATATTGCTGCTGTAGCAGCATATTAGAAATATGCATTGTAGAAAAGGTTTTCTCCAACATATCAGCATCATTGACTTTTTGTCCACATAACTTTAATTTTGATGTTATTTGGAACATAGCAGAATTATAGTCACTGATAGATTTAAAATCCTGGAATCTTAAATTGATCCAGTCATACTGAGCTTTTGGCAAAAGTACCTTTTGCTGGTGACCATACCTCTCTTGTAAATTGTCCCATAATTCTTTTGGTTCATCAACCAAAAGATATTCAGATTTGAGACTTTCATGGAGGTGGTGACGGAGGAAAATGATAGCTTTCGCTTTGTCTTGGGAAGATGACATATTATTGGCTTCAATTGTTTCTTCTAAACCATTAGCCTTAAGATGTGCCAGAGCATCGACTTTCCATTCCAAATATTTTTGACCGGACAAATCAAGAACGTCGAACTCTCTTTTGCTAATGTTGGCCATTTTAGACTACAAAAATTGTGTTTAAATTTAATTAGTAAAATTTATATGCAATCGGTAATACTCAAGAATCAAGAGTATATGATTATATATAAGTGATACATAGTCATTGATGTAAATAACTTACTCCATATACGTAGTATTTATTTGACAACGATTAATAACTTAATGTATATTGATTGAATTTATTGCGTTTTAGAATAAAAATTTATAAAACACAAAACCTTATGATTGGATGTTTATATAAATATAGTTATATAGTTATGTGTTTATGAAACTATGTATTACTCCTATTAATTTATTTACTACGTATTACTCCATATATTAAAAAAATCTGTACATACTACTAGAAGTCTAGAAGAGAACAAATGTGTGCAGACTGATAACCATGCATGTTTCCATGTAATACTACGTGTAAAAATTTCTGACAGTAATGAAGCAATGAAAAATGTGAAACTGTATGCCCGTGACTGTAATCGGTGCATGTGAAAAAGTGACGACAATATTTAAATATTGTAGTTCATCTTTACATACATACATGGGCGGAGCTAGGGGTGGGCCAACCTAGGCCATGGCCCACCCCAAATTTTAAAAATGGCTTAATTTTTAAGGTAAAAAATTTCGTGTAAATTTTTTTCTAAAAATATTCTTTGTACCGGCCCAGTCCGGCCCAGTGCTCTGGCTCCGCCCCTGCATACATACGGATACTATTTCTTTCATCCTCATATACCTACTTTCGTTTCTTTAATTTTAACGAACTATCAGTCTATCACTTTTCTTTTCTACACAAGTAATATCTCTTTCTTATGCTTTACGTAGTATATATTATTGTGGAGTAGTATGACTTGTTCATAAACTAGTTACTTTAACGAGCTGAGGCTAAGCTACAAGAAGACTAGAAAACAATCATTCAAAGGTATGTATGTTATTAATTTCTTTCATTGTAAAAAGAATATAAGTTACGGATTTGAAAAGTATGGAGTATTAATTTTGTATACTCGCAAAACTATTTTTTTTTATAGTTTCATATTTAAAATTTAACATGGAATAATACGGGTATAATAATGATAATAATACCTGCAGGAGATTTTGAAGAAGATACTGATGGTTGAAGATTTTGAGCAGATTCGTGCTGATAACGTGTTGTGAAATGAAGAATGTGAAGAACAACTTTAAGAGATAGATATATTGATAAAAACCTCTAAATAACTTCTTCTTTATCTATGAAATTTTCTGAGTTTCTGAATTTCTAAGTACATTTACAAGGCATCACCAAACCCCTATTTATACTGATGGAGCTTGGTGATGAATCATCAAAGAATCATTCTACATAATATGCTGGCAACATTAAACCTAGCCATCTGTTTATTACAAGGATGGAAATTGGATTAGTGTCCTGATGACAAGGATGAACAATTCACACTTGTCATTCTCAGGAATTTACAACACGGTATAGTTAAAACATGTGTAACTTCGGACTGTCGGAGTATAATAAAAGGAAGAGAATTTACCCAAAATAGGACTAAAAAGGTTTGGAAATTCCAAAATAGGACTGACATGTTTTTATTTCCAAAATAGGACTAATTACTGACATGTTTTGGCAGTACCAGACTTCAAACATGGCAGTATTTTCCAAACTTGTCAGTAATTACTCCTACTTTGGGAATAAAAAACATGACAGTCCTATTTTGGAATTTTCAAACTGTTTTAGTCCTATTTCGGGAACTTTCCCTAAAAGGAATATATTATTTTCATATCACAAACTAATTTCATACGCAAATTATACCGTGGGATCAACCCACCGTGAGCAAGGTGTGCCGATCCCAAAACGACACCGCTTTATCAATTAAAATAACAGATCAATCTTGCATTGTGACTGGAGCCACCGACTGGAGCCACTTCAATCTGCAAAAGCTCTTCAATCTAGAGCCACCGACTGGAACAACGATTGAGAAATTCCTCTATCTTTCTTGTTGGCAACCGACTGGAGCAACGATTGACAAATCTTCAAACCCTCTTCAAATTTCTTTTCTGACTCAACTAAGGTGCTGTTCTGTTCGTCTTATTCTTATTACTTATTGCTTATTCTTATTTTATTCAGATCAGATCAGATCAGATCAGAAAAATTCAGATCAGATCAGATCAGATCAGAAAAATTCAGATCAGATCAGATCAGATCAGAAAGATTCAGATCAGATCAGATCAGATCAGAAAGATTCAGATCAGATCAGAAAGATTCAGATCAGATCAGACCAGATCAGAAACATTCAGATCAGATCAGAAACATTCAGATCAGATCAGATCAGAAAAGTTCAAACATGATTTATCACTTTTATTATTATATTAATTATTATTAATAATATTGTTATTACAATTATGATTATTATTATTATATAATTATTATAAATAATATTAATAATAATATGATAAAAGAAAATAAGATATTAATAATAGTTATAATATTTTAATATAATAATAGTAATATAAATGTAATTATTAAGAAGACTATTATTATTATTATTATTATTATTATTATTATTATTATTATTATTATTATTATTATTATTATTATTATTATTATTATTATTATCATCATCATCATCATCATCATCATCATCATCATCATCATCATCATCATCATCATCATCATGATCATCATCATTATCATTATCATTATCATTATCATTATCATTATCATTATCATTATCATTATCATTATCATTATCATTATCATTATCATTATCATTATCATTATCATTATCATTATCATTATCATTATCATTATCATTATCATTATCATTATCATTATTATTTATATTACTATTATTATATTATAATATTATAATTAATGTTAATATAATTATAATTATTATTAATTATAATTATAATAATTATAATTATACTTATAATTATAATTTATGATTATAATTATTAATATTATTATTATTATTATTATTACTATTGTAATTATTTTACGGAGTAATTGTAATAATATTGATAACTATAGTTACAATTATAGAGATAAATATTGTAATCATAATTACAATTATAATTATATAAGTAATTATAATTAAAAATATAATTACAATTATAATTATATCTATATTTATAATTAGTGTAATAAGTATAAATTTTTTCATTTTAAATTTAATTTTAATTATTATTATTATTATTATTTTTATAGTTACGATTATAATTATAATTTTATTTAAATTATATTTGTAATTGAAATTATAATAATTATAATTATAATTATAATTATAATCATAGAAATATTCAAATCAGATCAGATCAGAAAGATTCAGATCAGATCAGAAGGATTCAGATCAGATCAGAAACATTCAGATCAGATCAGACCAGATCAGAAACATTCAGATCAGATCAGAAAGATTCAGATCAGATCAGATCAGATCAGAAAGATTCAGATCAGATCAGATCAGATCAGAAAGATTCAGATCAGATCAGATCAGATCAGAAAAATTCAGATCAGATCAGATCAGAACTTAAAAAATTCAGATCAGAAACATTCAGATCAGGCGAAGAGAACAGCTTCTAAGTAAATAAACTTTAAAACTAAAGCATCACCCTTTTAATCTGCTAACATGTCACCCTTTTAATCTGTTGAATATCTAAAGATGTCGATCGATAGTTGGTGTATATATACGTATGTATATATGTGTGTAATATATGAAGTTGCATTTTTTTTTATACTCGAGTTACATCTTCTAAAGCGTGAGTTACATCTTCTGAAGCGCGAGTTACATTTGGAATTGCCTCAACAAGTAACATTTTGTATACACCTAAGTTACATTTGACATCAATGCGAGTTACATTTGTAATAACATGAGTTACATCAAAAAAATAAATCTTTACTATTGAAACAAAAAAATAATTTTTTACACCCTTTTAATGATCATGATATTAAAAATAAAACATATTCACTATTTACGTAAAGTAATTGAGCAATTAGACTCCTTGTTTTCATTGTTTACATTGAAATCAATGTTGTATTTTTTATACTCCGTATTACACAAGTTAAATTTCGATTTGCCTGAAGTTACACTTTTTCTCAACGTGAGTTACATTTTTTTACACGTGAGTTACATCACCCTGCTGCGGGACAAGGAAAAAAACAAAACAAAAAAGTTACTGTTCACGCGCGTGAACAGTAACACGCGAATTTGCCTTTGGGAGCACCATGCTCACCGTGGATTGCTCCCATGGTATAAAAACTCAATTTCATACGTAGTATTACATACATATGACTAAATTCTATGGGAGGTAGAGAGTTTTAACAAAAAAAATCCGTTGTGCACACTTTTACTATTTACAAATTTGTATACACCTTTTGAATACGTTTTGTTTGAGATAGGAAAAAAACACCTTGGCAGGCAATGTGTACAAGGTGTCTACAATAAGAATCATATAAATATCGTTGGATTTTTTTTTCATTTTTATTCGTCTGATATAATAACCTTATAACCAAATTGTCATTATAATTAAACAAATAATAGGAATGATTAAAAAGCTAAAGTTTTTGAAATAGCTTCTAATAGGCCATTTAGGAAACACCCCAATACGTACTCGAACGTGATGGATCTTGATTATGCTGCACCTTCCTTGACACCATGCCTTTTATATTGTATTGCTAGATTTTGTATTGATATATAAGCAAAATGCTTAGTGTTATAGTGTACATGCATGAGTTGTACTGTACACAAAACCTTTCTAATTGTTTGTGTACACAGACTGTTTAAAAGGAGACAGTATTTAATGTCAAATTGTCTGTGTACACCAAGAATGGTCCTTGACTCCTTGATACAAAGAGTAAATATCGCGGAAATGGATAAAAGTATAAGAATAATTAGAAAAGAAGACATAAAAAGTACGTAGTAAAAACATTGCCTCTTTTAACTCGGTATATATGTAATCATTAAAAACTGAAAAATAGACCAAGTTAAAATAAACAGAATATATAAGGAATTATTCATTACACAGTAGAACATCATTCCATGTGTTATCGAAATGATTCTTTTTTTTTAAATTAATGACCCCCATGTTGTTATCAGATCACCATGCAACAGAATATATACTTGTGGACCTATATTAGAACATTGAATAGATACATACATATGGTTATATAATCATTATGAATAATAATGGTTACGGACATACAGTGCTCTTTTTCTTGCTTTAATTAATTTGGGAATAATTAGTAGATCGACTAAACATGGTGTCCTACCCTTCAGCATCAGACAATGCTGTAACATACGGAGTATAATATAATGTTACATAAAAAACCAGATCAAACTAGATTAAAAAATAGAGAACCAATTGAGAAAAAGGTCGAGCTGAGGTATGATATAACAATCATATACCCATGTGTTTCGATCAGTCTGAATTAATCATTTTGAAGAACCAAAATTCAATTCAATCTTAATTTATTACCCCAAAATAACATCTTACCAACCATTTGAACACTGTTTTACTTGGATTGTTTTGGATTGTTTTGTTAAGATCCGGGGTTCCATCCTAAAAGGTCAACCTGTTAGGAGGAGTAGCCCGAAACTTAATATAGCACTCTAATGCTTCTCAATTTTCCGGTGTGGGACATTTAACACCCCTCCTCACGACCAGACACTTCGTCTGGATCGCGTCGTCATTCATTTTTTCATCGGTTCGTCATTTTTTTTTATCGTGTCGTCATTTTTCATAAGGGACCCCACACCATGGATCGATTTGACTCTGATACCATGTTAAGATCCGGGGTTCCATCCTAAAAGGTCAACCTGTTAGGAGGAGTAGCCCGAAACTTAATATAGCACTCTAATGCTTCTCAATTTTCCGGTGTGGGACATTTAACATGTTTTGATCTATCCCGGACCAGATCAGATTTAAACAGACTAGATCAAACCAGACCACATTTAAACAGACCAAGCTAGACAAAACCAGACTTCCTTAGTTATAAAACACGCAGAGATAAGATGTTTACCAGACCAATTCAGACCAGACCGGCCGACCAAACCAAACTAGTAAACCCTAAAAACATCCTTAAACTCCTCCCTTCTTAAATCAATTGTTCATTACACGAATTTTATACGTACGTACTTGCTACCATCTTAATTGGGTAATGAGACAAGACTGAATCTTTCTTTGAGCTTTTGTTATAATTTTATTCAACATACTCGTTTTATTAAAATTACGTAGTTCATCAATACTATAGCCATTTGACTCTAAAATATGTTTATTCTGTCTAAAATATACTCCATCCGACCCTTAAAACTTTGTCAAATTTGACCGGCATGGTGATCAATAAAGTAAAAATTGTGTGGTTGAGGTTTGTGCAGAGGAGAAAGAATTAACTGGAACCACAAATTCTTTACTTAAAATGGACAGTTGCAAAGTTA